CAAATGCGCCAGCAGCAAATTCATTGTAATTAAGCCTTATCCTGTCCCCACCCAACATACAGCTTTGTATACGTCCTGTTCACACCACCGGAAAGCAGCCAGGATCAAAACTCTTTAGTTGAGTTTATCCCCATGTTTATCAGTGGTATCACCTGTATTTTCTATTTCCCTCTGACTTGCACACACAGATAAACCAGTAACTTCTGATGTACTTTCCTTCTGACAAGAAGGTGAGTATAAATAGAGGAAAATAGATGAAGAGTTCCATCTTGGGTTTTCTGGACCCATTAAAATGTAAATATCTCACAAAATGAAGAAACAGTCAGAAGGAGCTGTTAACATGCCAAGAATCTTTAAAAGACTTAAATCGCAGCTCTCCAAAGTTCAACAAGTCTATCCAGCAAGTAACTGAGCTGTGGAGAGACATCTTCTGTTTAATCTGCTGTCCATGCTGAGTTAGCTGGTCTCAGCTGAGATGCATTACGGGTGATATAATTGGCTTGGCTGAGGAAAAGGAAAATTGGCACGGGTTCCCACAACTGATCACTATCCAACTTCCCCTGCTGTGATTCCAGGTGCAGACAGTTGGTGAAGAGAGGATCATGGTAATTTTCATGCTGTTAAAAAGCTTGCCAATGCTTCTGGTCAAAGCTCACACATAGGTAATGGACAACTGGGCAAGGTACCAGAAAATATTCAGCTGCTGTCAAATGGTACCATAGCAAAGGACTCAATATGATAGTCTAGATGTAGGAATTATCCACCACTACTTAGTTCCCAGGTTCATGTTGAGATCATAGGGTGGAGCATATTTCAAAGTATTATTTTCATTCAAAGCATTGAGAAAAGTGGAGTCAGTGTGTTTCCTGCCAGACTCCCAAACTGTCTGAAGAGGTGGGTACAGCTTTACAAACTGAGGGAGCTGGAATTTTTCCAAAATTATCGTAGATGCTTGTGATTTACAATACTACCCAACACCATGTCATAAACAGTGCGCAGAACAGACTGTGCACAGTTTACTCCTAATAACTTAAAATCACCTTGTGTGCTACAGAAATCAAGGAATTTAAATTAACGAATGCAAATGACATAACATCATCAGAATTTAAAGCTGAATAAAAAATGAATTGTAAAGTCAGAGTTTCACAATTCAAATGAAGAGTAAACTGTATATGTCTTAAAAATGTTAATCTAAACATACTTTGATAGATAAAAAAACTCCTGTGTAAATGCTGAACTTGGCAAATACTTCAAAAAGTAAGAACGTGAAAGACTGTGGCTTTAATTGATGCACAAATCATTGCTACAGGAAATGGATTTTAGCTTTCCCACCCTTTTCCTCTTCATTTCCATGCCAAATTACATTTGCTGTAATTTTCATTTTATCATAAGACTAAATGCCTCTGTCGTAGAGGATAGGAACAAAGTTATCAAACCTACCAGAATTACTGTATGCAATGGATATTGAATTTTGTGGTAATTAATTGCAGGACATTTCTCAGTAAATCTGTAGAAATCATGTATTCAGTTTTTGCTTTGAGTGTACATTGGACAGATGACAAATTCCCACTGCCTAATCAAATCAATGAGCACCTGAACAATTTCAATTCAGTAGATGTGCTTCATTGAAATAAAACAGGAGCTCCTTCTAACCAGGTGACCATCTGGGTAGGACAGCTGCTTGTCATAAGCCTGTTGTAGCCCCTTAAAGAGGTAGATGAGAAACAGAACAGAGTGCATAGGGGTGGGGGATTTCCAGTAAACTGCACAGATTCTCAAGTATCCCATCATTAATATGTGCAGTTTAGCTTCAAGTACAACTAGATAAAGTTTATATTATGAGATGGTCTAAGTGGCCACAACTCTGTCAAACAACAGCATCATGACTGTGTGTTTTACTGGTCACACCAACAGCAGCTTTTTAATTCAACCATATCATTTTTAATATTTTGTACTTCTATTATTATGCAGTACAACCCTTCAAGCTTTCTCTTACCCCACTCCCACTCAGTTATTTGTTTGCTGAGTGTGAATGATTACTAATTTCAATAAACAAGCAGACTCTAAATTGTAGTAATTCAGTCCCTCTCTGTAACCTTTAGTATGTTGAAGATGTAATCAGGGCACTTCCAATGAGCTACTGCCTCTTCCTCACTCTGCCAGCAGTAGGAAACTTTGCCACTTGAACTGAATGAATCACTCAATCTTGAGATCGCTCCAGCAATATTTTAAAATATTAATTACACTTGATTTATTACTTGTTCCCATCATCTGGTCACAGTGCAGCAACACTGTCACAACATTTACACTTCAGCAGTCTGCTGCATTTTCACGATTCCTGGCAGGCCTGCGCTATGCAATTTCACAGTTGGATTGGAATGTGGAAGGTCATACTCTCCCATAACAGCCATGTGAACCCAAAACACACCATGGGAGAAGATTTCCACAGGCCACTGTATATTAGCAGCACTGTAAAGGCAGAAGAGGGGCAATGTGAGAGAGATTTCAAACTTGGAAAATAAAAGGCAACTGTATAAATAATTGAATTATTTCGTTAACTATGTAACTTTTAATGCATTTATTACATTAGAAACTTTATTTGTAGCATTCTGCTTTCTGGTTACTCAGAAAACATGTTGGCAGTTGTCACAATTTTCATAAGATATGTTGAGTGAATTTGTTGGTTTACACCCCCTTCAGCTTGCCAGATGATTTACTGGAAGCTATGCGCTGGCTGCTGATTCTTTATTAACAGCTTTTTGTAGATTTTACATATTCATTGGTACAATCTTCATCAGTTCAATGGTAATTTGCTGCTGTTTTAAGATTATGAACTTAATCGCACATGTGGCAAAGAACTAAGTATGTTTTAAGACTAACATTTGACAGTCATGTAAGGATGATTCAAGAGTTTTATGCATAGATCAGTAAGAAAGAAATATACTGTCTTAGAAAACCTGACAGTCATTTGAAGGTAAGCGTTAGAGAGCTGGAAATGTATATCGCCATATGTAGCTGTACTAATCAAATGGTGGGTTATGACTAGGGTAGAGTGCTGCCATCAAACCTCCTTTCTACTCTTTTAAAAATAAACAGTAACAGTTTAGACACCCCCTGGTGGGACCTGTAAAAAGAAATCAAAAGGTCAATGGAAACTTACAAAGGAAATTTATCAAAATCAAAATGAAGATGTAATTTCTGGGTGTGAGGATGCAATCCTCCTTTTCACTCTTTTTAAATGAACAAAAACAGACAGCCCTGGTTGGGCACTGTAACAAAAACATCAAGAGATCAATCATCCTTTCTATCCTTTAAAAACAAAATGTTAATCGGGTTAGACAACCCCTGCTGGGGAGCACTGTAACAAAATGAAAACCAAACGCTCGACAGAAACTTACAGAAACGGAGCAGAAACTTTTCAAAATCAAATCACAACATTGTTATCCAGGGTGATGGTGCATGCCATTCCCTGCTGTGCCCACCAGTCCCTAAAGGCCTCTAATCAGGCTGGTGGACACCCTAGGCTCTCTCTTGGTGGACACCCACATGCACAGGTGAGCATGGAAGAGGGTCAGACAGTTGGGTAATGCAACCCCCACCGCAGCCCACTGTCTGGATCTATGGACAGACACCTTGGCCAGGCTCAAGAGAAAGACATTCAATCTACCCAGTCCCCATGCAAGCCCTGCCCCATCCTGCATGGATGCCCATAAATCAGGCTGAAGTTCAACCAAAAAAGCAGCTGCAAACGAAAACACGAAAGATAGTTACTAATATAATAACAGGAAAATAGGAGATCTCTTTATATAGATTGGTTAGAATGTAAAACTAGCTATCACAGGAAGGGGTGGGTAGAAATAGCTTAGATTCTCTCAAAGGAAATCTGAGAAGTCCATGAGAGAAAAGGAAAGAGAAAGATAGGTTGAAAAGATAAAATAAGGAAGATAGAACGGAAGGGGGCATGTACAAAATATAAAAGTCATAAAACACTTTAGTCCATTTTGTACTGTATTTTCTGTATAATTTTATATAATAGATTACCCCAAGTAGAAAAGCTTTAATTAACATTCTCCTTCTGTGAAAATAAGGATAAATATTCCCACCGAGTAGAATGGTCTGTGATTTGAACAGCCTCACATGGTGTCCCATTGCCACTCAACTCCTGTCTGCCTCCAGCAGGCTCAGGTCTCTCTTTAGGTGCCTACCTGGGTGTAGAGTTATGTGCAAATTGGAGCTCTAGTTGACATCAGGCCCATGATGATACGAGAATGGCCTATTGATCATTCATTACAGTACAGTCTAGAGGGGAGTCCATTATAAACTTACTCCAGCAGCTGAGCCCTGAGCTGATGCCTTTCACACCCACAAATCACCCCGGAATGTCACAACATACTTTGGTGCCAGTAGTAATTCCAGACTCTGCACTTTTGACCTATTCAAAGCAAGCCTCCTTGGGCAGCAGATTAGGAGAATGAAAACGAGTTCTAGGAGTTAAAACAGCCCAGCTGATGACACCCTCCTACTCACCCAAAATCCAAAACAATCTCACTAATACCTCCCAGTCAACACATTAGTTGAGCAACATAATATTTGAAAGGTCAACCTCACCTTTCAACTTCCTACAGAGATAAAGTCAAAATGCACAGTAAACCTCAATAATCATTAATAAAAGCAAAATCATGAGGATGCTGGAAATCTGAAGCAAACACACAGAATGCTGGAGAAACTCAGCAGGTCTGGCAGCATCTGTGCAGACAGAAACAGAGCTAATGTTTCAGGTCCAATAATACTCTTCTTCAGAATACATCTAATACTTCAGCACAAGAGTTTCTCCAGCATTCTCTGTGTATGTTTCAATAATCATTACATTGTAAACTAATGTAAATTATTAGCTGTATTGGCTCTAATATACAAACATATAGATGATTGGTCATAAAGAAGTATTACAAATCAGACACTTTGAAACACAATATAAGTTTCTGTTGCTTTAATAGACTCACCTCAACATACAAGAGTGGAAATATGCCTATCTTATCTCCTAACATTCCTTCTGCCCAGTTGTCATCCACCCTCCTTATGACAGTCAAAATTTCATCCTGAAAGGAGAAATGATATATATATTAAAAGAAATCAGCTGAATTTCACAATAACAAAGAAAATAATGTACATGAGGACCAATTATGCTGAAACCCCTATTTCTTTTGATGTTTCAAGACAACATTTCTTTATGTCATTCGCTTGTCTCATAAGCATCACCTTTACTTTCTTCTTAATCTAGTGATATTGCTAACCCTCGCTATCCCTTCTGATCCCCATGAAATCTCTCATCCATTCCTGAACCTTGGTTTCCTTTATTAGAACAGAAACTCTTTTTTTAGTGTCTCTGTAACTTTTAACTCGAAAAAGCCCAAGCCGATCAAAGTGTTCAATGCTCTCCAACAAACCTTACAAATGCTTTTTCCTGAACAGGTCACCAGGGCAAGATTGTCATTTGATAGATGGCTCCTTTCATACTTTATGGGTTGAATTTTATGAGGACCTTAGAGGAGGATGTGGAGTCAGGGAAGGGTGGGAGGTGATGGGGAGCACGTTTGGAGGGGGTGACAGGTAAGCAAATTCTGAAGGACAAGCATTGGCTGGTTTCCTGCTTCTGGATTCCAGCCTCTCTCCCAGGGGCAGGTTGTGTCCTCTGACAACAACCCACATGATAAAGCTGTGATATAAGTAAGGTCACTGAGTGATTCATTTTCAGGAGGCAGCAGTTATGAACGACAAGCCTAGCTCAACTGCTGTAATGAACAGTTACTACCTACAGTAGGAGGGGCCAGTGCATTCCACTGGCCATCCACCATCCACCTTAAATCAGGCCGCCCCTGATTATTACGGGTGCTCACAGTTCATCTGCTTCAATGGGTGTTGGATTCTCACTGCTCAACAAGTAGATTGAATCCAACACAGCAGTCAAATAGAAAGATGCCAACTCTTCAATTGGTAAACTGGAACGTCAGGCCTATGTGCACTCGATTGACTAATGATTGACCATGTGTATAAGACAGCCGTGATTTTCAACCGAAGTTGATAGGTTTAACATTAACACAGCTTCCTGACAAGTGATCAGGCTCTGGCAGGGAAAGAGTTCACAGGAGATGTGGGCCAGGGGGAGGCTTGGCTGTAAGGAATTTGTTATTCTCAGTGTTACTAGCACGCAGAAATGAGACAGAACACGTTTCCTCTCTTAAAACGCGTAATTCAAACAAGTAACCTCATAAGTATCTACTTGCCAGGGCTGTGTTCCACTACAGAAACAAAAGTACAATTCTATGAAGAGCTTGACACAATCATGTCAGCACAATTCCTAAGCAGAACATATTTACACTGAGGAATTTCAAAGCAAGAGTGGATGCTATGTACAAAGGATGGCCCTCCTACCTCTGACATCATCACCTGAGAAAGGTAAATGAGATGAGTTGGAGACAACTTGAGCTTTGTTGATACCATGACTTTTGTGTAACTGACACCTTCTTTCAGAAAACCAAGCCACAATATAACTTGGAGACAGACAAGTTCAGGGCATTGTCAATAGCTCAAGTTGATCATCGCCTGTCACGATTCTGAACAGCGTTCTCAATACACACAACCATCATCGCTCTAACTGAGATACACACCATTCCCTGGTGTGCAGTAGTGTTATGGTGCAACACTTGAAGCTTTTTCATTCAAAGCAGAAATGCCATCCTCATAGCAACAGCAGCCATATAGTCTACGATAAAAACAAACAGATCCTCAAATTAAATAAGGCAGCATGGTGGCTCAGTGGTTAGCACTGCTGCCTCACAGCGGCAGGGATCCAGGTTCGATTCCAGCCTCAGGCAACTGTGTGAAGTTTGCATATTCTCTCTGTGTCTAGATGTGTTTCCACCAGGTGCTCTGGATTCCTCCCACAGTCCAAAGATGTGCAGGTTAGGTTAATAGACCATGCTAAATTACCCTTAGTGTTCAGGGATGTGTAGGCTAAGTGGATTAGTCATGGGAAATGCAGGGAGAGGGTGTGGGTGGGATGCTCTTCAGAGGGTTAGCATGGACTTGATGGGTTGAATGGCCTGCTTCCAAACTGTAAGGATTCTATAAATGAACAGGCAATCTCTGTTATGTTAACGTGTCGGATCCGATGGCCCTTTCAGTTCTGAGGAAGGGTCACCGGACCCAAAACTTTAACTCTGTTTTTCCCTTCACAGATGCTGCCAGACCTGCTGAGCTCTCCAGAACTTCTGTTTTTGTTCCTGATTTACAGCATCCACAGTTCTTTCGGTTTTTAATGTGCCACTGACAACTGATTCCAACTTTGCCAGAATATCTACAGGTCCTTCTACACTTGGAATGGTATGGACAAAAAGGCAACAGGTCCATCAGGAAAGAAAGTAGCTCCATTGAATATAAATGTATGCAAGGTCATTACTGACTGTAATAAATAATGGGAGAGAGGGTGGAACATGAAATTGAGCTGCACACTCAGCAGAAAACTGTATTCAAGGAAGCTCTAGACACCACAGAGAGCCTGTCTGTCACAGCAGAACTGGACATTGAACCAGAGTAGTAGCAAAGCTTTCCAATCACTCGAAAGCCCCAGAGGCTGATGCTACAGGACCTGAATTCTTCAATCAGGGGAAGCAAACTTCTCTGTCTCTGCTGTAGGGAGGGAGTAGTACCACCGGATATGTAAGAAGTAAAGACCCTGTGACCCTATACAAGAACCAGGTGAACACAGTAATTGCAACGACTATTGAGACATTTCCCTGCGGAGTAGCTTAGGTTAAGGGTTTGTCGTGTTGGTCCTGTCAGACTGCAGATTCTGGCTGAACACATCTTCCCTGAATCTGAATGTGGTTTCAGAACAGGGCGATCTACAACTGACATGATTGTCACCAAGTTGCTCAACATGATCGTCTCCTTCCGCGTTCAAAATGATTATCTCCTTATCCAAGGTGATCAATAAGGTTAGTTAAGATAGGTCTACATCAGAATCATTTACGATCTGTAATGAGAGGTCAAACAGGGTTGAGTGCTGGCACTGATAGATTTTGGTACATTATTTTCTTTGTTGCTGTCATATACCTTGAGACACCTTGTGTAGGACATCTCTTAACATGGGAATACTGTTGCACATCAGCAGACACACAGTCCTTGACAGAAGGCAGATCCAGTTCCAGTGACAAGGAAATCTTGATGACTGGGGATCTCTTTACTGCAGCAGCCTTCATCCGCCATTGCAGCTGTCAATATTACACAAATATCTTTCATCGCTGCTCTCTTGGAAAAGAATTTTCAAGTCTCATGTGATGTCTTTGCTAAAGCATAGCGAACAACTGGTCCCAGCCTCAACCTTAAGACGACTCAAATCCTTACTAAACTGTCCCAGGTCAAGTTGTGGTCCATCCTTCCATTAAGATTAATGGAGAAATCCTCCCAAAAATGGAATAATTCCTTGACCCGTGAAGCCATCTCCTATCTAAGGCTGATATTGATGCAGAGATTCATCATCGCAACCAATCTGCGAATGGCACCTTCGGATGCCAAAGGATGAAAGTTTCCAATGACCATGATGTCCATATGGATACCAAGATCCTTGTGTCTAAGGCAGTCTTCCTTTCAACTCTTCTGTATGGGTCTGGAACGTACACTATGGTGAGACGTCTCCTCAAAACCCTTGAGAAGTACCATTAATGCTGTTTGAGATGGATTCTCCACATCAGCTAGGAGGACAGGTGTACTTACATCAGTGTCTTTGAAGCAGCCAGTAGCATTGAGATCTTGATCATCCAAAACCAACTCTGCTAGGCCAGCCATATGTTTAAGATGTCCAAGTTCCAATTATCAAAACAAATTTTTGTCCAGCTCATGGAAAGTACCCATTCGAGAGGAGGACAAAGGAAGCATTTCAAAGACTGCCTGAAGAAATGGAGCACAGATATCAATGCATGGGAGATGCTCATTCAGAAGAAACCGACTTGTAGGAAACTCCTGTATGAAGGGATTCAATACTTCGAGAACAGCGTTCAGCAAGAGAAAATACAGAAAAGAAACAACAGAAAGGAATGCCTGCCAAACACATGGGCAGAGTTACAGCTCTAAGATCAGGTTCATCAGCCACACAAGGAGCCATAGAACCCATGATCAGTGACACAGTATTTCCTAGATGGACAATCATACTCATTAGTGAGTGACGGACGATGACAATGATGTCTCGAGGTCATCTGCAAAGGATGTCTGCTTTCATACTGACGGAAAGCTGTTCAGCCTTCTTCACCTGAAATCCAAGATTAAGGTAAACCATGTCCTTATCAGAGAGTTGTTCCAAGCTGTGATATTCGGCACTAACATTCTACATAGAGGCGTGGCTTCAGCAGCAGCTGGACAGACTCTCTTAAAGCCATTGAACTTGGTTTGACTATCAGCAACAGGAAAACAAATGTCATGGTTGAGAATGTAGCCCATACTGCCATTTATCAGGATGGACAATGTGTTGCTGGAGTTTGTTGATAGCTTCACAGCTATCCAGGCTACACATTCACAGCAATCTGTCATTTGATGCTGAAATCCACAATGTATTGTTAAAGCTGCAGCTGTTATATCCAAGCTGAAGAAAAGTGTGTGGAATAACAGCAACTGACTGAGAACACCAAACTATGAGCTTATTACCCTGCATCCTCAGTGCATTCCTCTGAGGGAGTGAGGCCCAGAACATATAAGCTAGGCAGAGGAAAAGGTTGAGCAGTTTCTACCAACACTGTCAGACATATCCTTCACATCTCTTGGCAAGACAGGATCACCAACTCCAGGGGCCCTGGGAGGATACTAATTCCATTAACACACACACAATATTTAGCCAACAACATCGTGAATGGCTTGGCCACATTCATCAGATAGGTAATGGCCACATCGCCAAACTCCTTCTTTCCAGTGATTGGCTGCTAGGCTATGACCTTCTAGACACCCATACCTCCATTACTAGGATTCCTGCAAACGAGAGACAAAGATGGCAGACAACTGGGAGACAATTGCTGATGGCTATCACCTCTAAAAGTTGACTGTTTGAAAG